TAATAATAATAAATATGCAATTCTAATTTAAGTATCTGGATTTTGGAACCTAAATCAATTAATTAATAATTTAAATCTATTGCGTACATATATGTTTCCCACTTATAATCTTGTTCAAGAATCATTAATGGTTTAAATTTAAATAATTATATTTCCTGCATTGGCAACGACTTCTAGACAAAGCATCATAATTTTGTAAAACGTATAAGAAATGGTAAGTTAAACGTCTTTGTCAAAGAAAACTATAAAAAATAGTAGTACATAACAACAAAACTAACTCTTTGGATAAACAAAATGGAGCCACTTATCCAAGTTGTTGCCACGTTCTCGTTCATCATTTTGAAAGAAACACGATCAGGAACTTACGTACCCAATAAAAGAAAACGAATACTATCGACATCGTACAAAACCGTATTGTGGTTTTTAAAATAGATTATCTAACACTACAAGAAAACAAGCATTATTTCGACGGAATTTTCGACGGCATGCCGATGGATTTCCGAGCAAAATGAATCCGTTGGAAATCTGTCGATTTATTGTGACGAATTGACGACGGATACGGAAACCGTCGGTATTCCGTCGCAAATCCGTCGCCTTGTCCCGACGGATTTCCAACGGAAATAAGCTGTCGTAATTTTCTGACGACTTTCCGACGGAATAACGACGGAAATCTGACTTTCCGATATCGGCAAAGTTTGAGTGGTCAGCTCATACCGACGGAACTAATTCCGTCGGAAATCCGTCGGTATTCCGATGTCGGCAAAGTTTGAGTAGTTACTATTTCGTTAGCAGTGGCCGATGGGATTGGTGGGGTGTTATGTCAGAGGTTTTTGACGGATTTCCGTCGGAAATCCGTTCTATTTAAGTTTCCACATTTCTTCATTCCTTCATAACACAATTTTAAAAAGCCAAAAAATTTGTTAGCGATGAGTTCATATTTTCGGTCTTAGATGGACGAGCCAATGATGGATATGGGCTCGAACTTATTAACGTCCGCATACGCTGAAGGTATATGCGAGTTCATGAATTTACCCAGAAA